GGGTCTTCTCTATGAGACCAGTCTTATGGACGACAAGACACAGGCGCTCGAGAACTATATCCGAGGCCACGCCTACACCCGAGCCATAGCGTTGGCCCGCAAGGAGTTCCCCGACGACGTCGTGGGACTGGAGCTCAAAGTCAGGCATTATTTCTGTCTTTTAAAAAGTGTTCAAAACTTTATATTTTGAATAAAACTTATGTTTTTGTCATTGAATGCAAAGTTCGCGGAATGGCTGCTAACCGATGCCAACGACCCGTCCGGTGCTGTCAACCACTTCATCGAATCGGGCCGAACGGACAGAGCCCTGGAGGCGGCCATTCAGGCCCAGCAGTACGACCGGGCCGTCGAGATCGCCGCCATTTTGGACACAATTCCGGCGCATTTCGGCAAAAAGATTGGCGCGTATTTCGCGGCCAAAGACCAGACGGACACCGCTGTGGAGGTGTACCTCAACTCCGGGTGCATTCGCGAGGCCATAGCGCTGCTGAACTCTGTGGGCCAGTACTCCCGCGCCTATAAGTTGGCGCGAAAACTGATGGACCCCTCGGAGGCCAAAGAGATGTACGAATCGATCGCCAAATCGCTGGAAACGGACGGCAAATACAAAGAGGCGGAGAGGATATACATCACCAGCGATGACGTCGACTCAGCCATCAGTATGTATAAGACGGCCAAACAGTACGAACCGATGATACGACTCGTCAAACAGTATCATCCGGATCTCCTCACCGACACTCACCTCCATTTGGCTAAAGTATAGCTCATTTCAGTTCTTATTTAATAATTCTGTTTACAGAATATTCTGTGAATTCATTCATTAACACAAACACAAGAATTCAATTAATTGTTTTTGTCAATCCGTAGAATATTCTGTACGGAATGGAAATGAAATTATTAATTATATACAGAATAATACGTGAATTTAATTTTGAAATTATATTTCAAACTCTTTTCGGGGAACAGGAGTTGGAAAACGAGGGATCCCTCCATCAGGCGGAGAGTCATTACGTGTCGGCCCAGGAGTGGAAGAGTGCGGTCCAGATGTACACCAACGCCGCCCACTGGGAGGAGGCCTATCGGGTCTCGCGAGCCAACGGCGGCCTAAACGCCGCCAAACAAGTGGCCTATCGATGGGCGCAGAGTCTGTCCTCAGCGGACGCCGCCGTCAAACTTCTGACCCGCTTCGGTCTTCTGTCACAAGTGGTCGACACAGCTGTCGAGGCAAATGACTACGAGTTCGCCACCGCTTTGGTCACCGAATCGGGTCCAGAGCTCAGGCATAAGGCGACGGAAGTGCGGCTGAAGTACGCCCTATGGCTGGAGGACGAGAAGCGCTGGTCTGACGCCGAGCGCCTGTACTGCGAGGCCAACAAACCCAAGGAGGCGGTGCTCATGTACTTACATACCGGCGCTTTCGACGACGCGCTCCGTGTGGCCGAAGAGGCCATGAATGACGAGGAAGTGGTGAGGGATGTGTTGACAGCGCAGGCGAGGACTATACTGGAGAGGGGAAGGCGTGGTGTGGACGACATGAACCGAGCGGAACACCTGCTGCTGAGGGCCGGGAGGATCGAAGTGGCCGTTAAGGTGTATAAGGAGAACGACATGTGGGAGGAGGCGCTGCGGGTGTGCGAGCAGTTCGCCCCCCATCTCATCGATTCGGTGAAGAGGGAAATGATTTCGTCGAATAGCGACCACTATATCCTCAGCGGAACCACTACTCCGGGCGCCAGCAGACCGTCGACCCATCACTCAGACCTGTCGGCGCCGACGCCTATGCTGTCCAACGATAAGTCAGATCTGCGACAGAGTCTGAAGATAGCGAAACAGAACGGCGACAAAGAGTCGACGGTTCGGATCGCTCTCCTGTTGGCCACTCAGCTCGTGAGGGAGAGGTCTTCGGCGGACGCGCTGACGGTTCTCAACGAAAACAACGCCGTCTTCGTTATGCCTGAAACTCGCAAAATAGTCGTCCGAATCGGCGCCGATTTGCTGGCCTTCGAGACCAACTCCGGTGACGTCGACGTGAGCTCTTGGAAACAGTTACGCGATTCGCTGCTCCAAGTGATGGCCTCTTCGGGCAGCGACTCTGAGCTGGACGTCATCGAGAGGTACCTATTGGTCACCCATTGGTATACTCTGCGGACGATACTGAAGGCAATGGACGGCCAGTCGAACGCCACGGAACTCGTGACGAAGATCACCATATCGTTGCTCCGGTACACAGATGTGCTGCGCGTCGATAAGGCCTTCTACGAGGCGGGACTGGTAGCCAAAGACAGCGGTCGACTCGAGATGGCGTTCGTCTTCTGGAACCACTTCTTGGATTTGGTGGACGCCATCGACGACGGAGACAATAACGTCGATCACTCGGACTTTGTCGACACCGACATCCCCTTCGAGGTGCCCCTCCCGGCCCACGTGTTCGCCACCGACTCCTCCCAAGACATACGCGAAGAAGTCAAGAGTTGGATCCTCGAGGTGTCGATGGATTCGCACGTTTCGCAGTCACTGCCGGTCGATGCGCTCCGGGAGGGAGACGTATATGAGGCGAGTCTCGTGAACGCCGACTCCACCCGATGTCTGCCCTGTTTGGTGACCGGCTATCCCGTCATTAA